GAGCCCCCCCCCCCGTGTGATTTAAAGGTGCCCCCCCAGAAAGCAACTGGCTTTATAAATGGAATATTTTCGTACTTCTCAAATTGAATTTGTTCAGGCCCAGCCGTAGCCTTTATGGTGGGTTTGGGTTACCTCTGGTAATGGCTGTTTTACCTTTCAGTCAGTGTGGCAGAGACCCACAGGGGGTCCTCAGGTTACGACCCCAATGTGGGATCAGGGTTTCCATTCTTAAACAGAGCAAGTGAGTCATGCCTGACTTTACAACCTCTTTTGCCGTGGCTGTTAAGCAGATCACTCAGTCGTTAAGCGGATCTGGCTCCCCTCCCCCCCTTGATTTTGTTTGTGGGAAGGCAGCTGGGAAGGTCCCGGAGGGCGAATCCGACCCTCCGAGTGACGTAAATGCAGGCGGTTAGCCCAGATTTGATCAGGGGACCCGGAGATGCTGCGACGGTCCTCACGGGCGAGGACTGTCCATAAGCCGCATTTTCTGGCGCAGTTGCAGCTTTAAATGGCTGCTGGGCAAATGGTCCCTGCGTGGGGAACCTCCCTCCCTCCCCCCCTCCCTGTCCAGGCAGCCCTCAACTTACCTTTCGTTTAGTGGCCGTTCAAAGTGGCAATGGTCCTGAAAGGAGGGGCTGACGACCATTGCAACCTCCCCCCGGTCACGGGATCGAAATCCAGCCCCTTGGCCACTGACTCACATTTATGACGGTCTCGGTGTCCCATGGGGGGCGGGGGGTGGCACATGATCCCCTTTTGCAACCTTTGGACCAGCAAAGCCAACGGGGGAACCTGGCGCACTGAACAACCACGTGGCTTACCAACAGCGGTGATTCACTTAACAACGGTGGCAAGAAAGGTTGTAAAATGGGGCTAAATTCAGTTCACAAACGTCTCGCTTCACCACAGGATTTCGGGGCTCCGTTGTGATCGTAAGTCGAGGACTTTTTCCTCTCCTTCGTAGCCTTGGCGTTTTGCACAGAATAAGCCCAGTGCAGAGGAGCTCAGGAGGCGGGGTCTCTGATGGGGGGGGTCCTTTGTGGGGTGGGGAGTGGAGGGAGAAGGACCCCAACAACAGCAGCTGCATACACAGGCAGCCCCCCACCGCCATTTTGTGAGAGCACCCACAGCAACGCTGTGATGGGCCCGATCGCATCCGCCTGGAGAGGGGAGGCCATCCGGGGTCCCCAGGCTGCTCCCAACAGCCGAGTCGGGCTCCTGCGAGCCTGAGCAGGCCTGTCCTCTCCTACCCCCAGAGGAGGAGGAGGAGGAGGAAGAGGTGGAGGGGAATCCCCCATGACCAGTCAAAGGCCCCGCCGTGACTCAGAGGCTAGTGGCGGCTTACTTCCCACGGGGCTCTTCCCTTTTCTCCAGCCAGAGGCTGCCGACTCACCCGGGGCCCTGGGTGGGGGGGAGGGAATGAGGCTGCATCCCTCTTGGGGCCCTGGGGACTCCCCCACAAATGGCCTAGCGGGTGGGCTTCCCCCCCCCCCCCCCCCCAACCCCCCCCCGGCCCCCTACCCGGGCTCCCCCCCCCCCGGACTGCCGGATCCCCGGACGTTCCCAACGCGGCCAGGATTCTGCCTGGCTGACAGAGAGGCGGCTCCTGGGCCTTGGCTGGAGATGAGGAGCTTGGCTGTCGGGTCCCAGGGGACGATGAGCTCATCCTGTGTCTCAACATCCAACTGGCAGTGCCCCCCCCCCCCC